ACGTTCAGAGCAGACAGAGAAACGACGGCAAGGCGGCAGCAACACAGCAGCAGACACACAACGCTCAAATACAGAGAAGAGGGACACCAATGCACTTTGACCTTAAAGTTTTAGGGATAAGCACCGATGTTTAAACTTGAAATGTGAGACAGAGTGAATAAATGCACTAAACTCTTAATCTGAACTGTAATAATTCAGATGCATGAAACTGTTCATTCACAGTGTTTTGTAGCTTTGCTGGCTGCGGTGTGAGAAACTGAGCTAACCCCAGTAGGAGACATGATCAAATGAAAAATCTGAAGCTTTTTTCCTGCTGATAATTGTTGCTTTCACTAAACGTTAACCCTGACAGCATAAACAGTAAAAACACTGAAAATTACTTGATGTTCATCTGAAGGGTGGACGTTGTTTCGAGCATGAAAATCTCACGGTGATCCCAAAGGAAACGGTTTGGAGGTTCAGCTGCAGGTGGTGCCGTCATCGGATTACCAAACTTTGTGGGAACATTGAATTTTGGCAGCAAATTTTATGTAAATCCATGAGCAAATCAGCAGCTTGTCCTTAAAAGATTGCATATCACCCACCAGGGGCGAGTCTAGGATCTGACCTTTAGGGGTGCTTCCCCCCCCCCCCCCCCCCATGCTGATAATAGCACAACAGCGTTGTGGCCATGTAAGTTCAATAATTAACTGTTATTTCATTGGGTAAGAGGAGTATGTTGGCACTCTTTGCAGACGTACAAACATTTTGTACTGAACTACTACAGAGTAATCTTCAAATAAATAAAGCAAACAAATGCTGTACACAGTTTTCATTCATAAATATCACTGAAGTAATTCTAAATTAATTAATGATGCATCGCCACTCTGCATTTGGAACAGCCCATTGCAAAATATTATTGCATTGCAAATTGCCATTTGAATAAAGGTGCAGATACAATGAGTCTCCCAGTGGTGTAAAAAACATTTGTAATGTGGGGGGGACACACTGGTGGGGGAGTCTGGGGGTCCTCCCCCAAAAAATAAAGGAGATTCCATTTCCTGCATTCTGGTGTATTTTAATGGGTTGTTAAACATCTAAGTAAACAATTGACTTAAAAACTATTTTAGAGACAGATTCCTGTTCCTAATGTGACACAGTTTATCACAAACAATGACTTTATGGATGCACTGGACTTTATTTTGTTTATTTTTGATGTAGTTTTATTTGTAACACAACATGCCATTGTACTAAACAATGGTGACACTGAACTGCATGTTTAAAAATAAGAATATTAACTTTACCCAATGAGCATTTTGATAACCACCAACAGTGAATTCAAGGGGGCATTTTACTCTTTTTTGATTTAGTGATAGACTCATAACAAAAATGACGTGGCATCATGCAGCCGTCACAACACTATATTACACTGAGCCAAGCAAAAGTGACTACATTAAAAAAAAACACTGTCAGTTTTGTCAACGTGCATGTAATTATTAAAACAAAATAATCTACAGGTTCCTTCCTACATTGATGCCACAGTTTCTACACTTCATAACTTTTATTGCCTTTTCCTTCACAATCCACTTGGAATAACATCCATCTCCTTCTCCCATCGTTTTCTTTTCCACTAATCCATCCTCACCACTGATTTGAACAATTTTACTTTACAAAGAACGCGTGTTACTTGGCTTCTTGCTCCCTAACAGGACATTTCTCCTTCAAGGTGTTCTCTGAAACACCATCAGCTGGACTTTTCAAATCTTACGGCAAAGAAAAAACAAGTTCTTCAGACGGGCTAACCAAGATGCTACAGACGTAGCACTCACGTAACACCTGTTAACGTAACACCTGTTAACACTCAGACTGATGAAGCCCTCTGGATAGAGGGTGAAACGTCTTTATAAAAAAGAAACTGTCCAGATGACCTGACTGAGAATTATTGGATTTGACATCTGGATGATTGAGCATGAACTTTGTTCACTCTGTTGGGCCTTTTTCAGCAACACATATTTACATAGGTGTTCTGAATGACTCTCAGCTACTTCCACATCAAACATGAACTTAAAATCTGTCAAACTGACCGAGTTAAACTCTTTTCGCATCAGCTAATAAAATTAGCTGCTCTCTCTCTCGCCATCTGGTTTACGAGATATTTCGCTAACAATTATAAGCCTTTTTTTTTTTTTACTAAAATCTTGCACACCCTGTGCACACTCAGAGTGTATGTTTGGTATCAGTCTAAGCTACTACCACACAAGATTCTAGGTCAGTATCTGTAAAGTTGACTGGGGTGTAACAATATTTGTGTTTGTTAAGGTCAGTTCCTGTGGCGGCCATATTGTATTGGGTTGACTCCAGAACTTAATGGCTTGTTATGTTATATCTAATAATTACTTCCTGCAAGTTTTAGTAAAATCATCTTGTTGTACATGAGATATTTTTGGGACAGACAAACACATGCATACAGGCTTAGGCAAAAACATGATCGTCTGCGTTTGCCTTTTGTTGTTGGACAATACCGTATTTTCCAGAGTATAAGTCGCATCAGTCAAAAAAATCATCATTAAGAGAAAAAAAACATATATAAGTCGCTTCGGCGTATAAATCGCATTTATTATGCATCACCGTTGACCTGTCAAGTTTATTATGTGTTTATTTAATGGTCAAAACAGCTTCATTTCACCTGGGTGGCACAACACCATCCATCCATCCATCCATCGCAGCCGGAGCTGCTAACTCTCAGCGTTCCTCCGCCTGCACCAGCTGTGTGAAGCGAGCGTGAATGGGATGACTCGCTGTTGCAGTTTTTAGAAATTTAACAAGATTAACACTTGAAAACAATTGTTTGTTTGCTCTGAATTATAGTAAAGGTGTGTCTCAGTTTAATTTTTCCTTAATAAATGCACTTTAATGGTCAAAACAGCTGGATTTTGCCTGGGCAGCACAGCGTCATCCATCCATCCATCCATGGCAGCCGGAGCCACTAGCGCTCCAGCGTTCCTCCACCTGCACCAGCTGAGTGAAGTGAACGTGCACAGGAGGACTCGTTGCAGTTCTTAGAAATTTAAAGCGTCAGTCAAAAATTGTTTTATGAATATGGAAAAAAAACATATATAAGTCGCAGGACTGACGAATCTATGCAAAAAACTGCGACTTATACGCCGGAAAATACGGTAGTTATTTATAAATTCAACTTAAACTTTGTGTACAATCGTGTAATAACATAAGCAATCGCAATAGCCTTTTTTCATCATAACATTGACTGATTTCAATTCAACTCATTTTATTTATATCGTGCCAATTCACAACAGAAGTTGTGTCAGGGCGCTGAACAGAAACATTCACATACATAAAAAAGCCAATTCATAAAGTTCTCCATGTAAAGAAGCTGCAGACTCGTTGAATCTTCACTTCATCACAGTCTCCCATCACGAACAAGCACAAAGGCAACAGTGGAAAGAAAAAAGTCTCTTTTAACAGGAAGAAACCTCCAGCCAAAAAAAAGAAAAGATTTCAAAAGAAGACTGATTTTTTTTTTTTTATTTCTTTAAAGCTTTATGATCAAAACATTACTCATGTCACATATTTACAAACAGAAATAAAAGAGTCATTTATAAAGTCAGATTGTGAACAACACTGTCTGGCTGTGAATGAACCTGCCGGGCTTCAGCTGCTGCGATTCAACTGTTTAAAGGGAAACAGCATGAGCACTTCTCAAGCATTCAGTTATAATCATGTGTTATCTGTGGTGAGATTAAACAAATCTCATCAGGAGCTTTTGGAGAGCAGTTTCAGTGCAGAGCTGAAACGTATGAAAAGCCTCGGGAGAGCTGTGATTTTAGAGATTCATGAGATTTAAACTAAAAACTGTGTCTGTGTGAACCCCAGGTGCTCTGAAGAGGCACAAAGCAGCTGCTCTTTGTCCTGCAGTCTTCCTCATCTGCAGCTGGAGACGCTGAAACTCATGGAGCACGTGAGCCAAGCTGAGAGCAGACATCCTCGAGGGATGAAGGAACGCAAAGGTCGATCAACCGCGTAACCTTTGACTGAGTGGATTTGCAGAAAATGATCAAAAGCATTCGGCTCCTGATGTTTTTGTTATAATGACAAGTTTTTAATAGTTTTAAATGTAAATACTTGAACAATTATAGGCGTATGAATCAAATCCAGCTGCTTCACGGCAGAGTTGGAATCAGATTGTGAGTCGTTTCGACCAAACCTCGAAAATGACGTTATGTGTGATATGAAATATTGAGCGACCGTGAGAAATGTGTTAGCACCCAAAGTCATCATTTTTTGTACTGGATAAGCTTGATCAGTTGCAGTGGTTAAACTGGGTCGACTTCAAAACGTTAATTCGTTTTAAATGTAATTATTTTCTGAGAGTTTCACCAAAATCTGTCCAACGTTTTTGTACATATTTTGTCAACAGATAAACTTGGTCAATTCCAACTATTAAATTAACATTTGAAGCTGAACTAAAGTCCAGTGTGTGTTTGGAATGATACTCATCTTCTGTCAAACACCAGTTTAACTCCATATCTGTACAACTGGCTGAGTTGGAGCCATTTAAGTCTCTTGACTGTGACAACGTCTTAAAATGGTTTGACTCCAAAGTTTATTCAGTTCTATGTCAATTTCTGAGCGTTTCAGTTAAATTTGTCCGATGGTTCATTAGATATTTTGCTAACAAACAAAGCAAACTGCAATAGGTAATATCAAAGTTTTTTAAGGAACTGAGCTGCTATGGGTCAGCGCCCTGAGAGGTATAACATTCAGCTGTTAGCACCTAAAATTTTAGCTCCTTGTATGCAAAAGGTGCTGCGGTAAAGCTGTTATCTGCAGCAGCCATATTGAATCTTAGCTCCAAACGTTAATCAGCTGTTGATGTCAGCCCAATGTTTACGTTCTGAAAGTTTCATTAAAACCCATCCTGTGGTTCTTATCTACTGCTAACATGACAGACAAATGAACACACACAGATTCAGGTAAAAACATTATCACCCTTTGACGATGGGCGATAAATATATTCAACCTTTGATTTACTGAATAGTCTTTAGTGAAATGCAAAAGATTAAATAAATTGTTAATATGCTGACTCATGCCAGAATAGTCTTTAGTCATTGTTTTTTTCAGGTGTTTGTTTCGCTCCGTTAAAGGCTGTCAGGAAGTGTAAGAGGCAGTTTAATTGCATTTTGTTAAAGTTTCAAACTAAAGTGTCCAGTCTGTGCTGTTTCCCGTCAGATGTTTGCTCCCCTGGATTCAAATGATGCTGGACTTCTTGCAGAAAAGGGTGAGGTCATCCGAGTCGGCAGCAGCGTGGTGTTTGTGCACATCAGAGCATCCTTTACACTGAAAAGGAGAAATCAGAGGAGACAGATGTCAGTGATGCGTCTGGAGGTCAGTTTTATGATCAGCAGAGATCAGTAAAGGCCGAACTGCTGTTTGCAAAATGATCGGAAATGGTTTAAAGCAGGGGTTCTCAAAGCTTTTGGGTTCAGACCCGCCCCCGCAACATCATGTTTATAAAAATTTTTTTTTCAATTTGTCTCTTTTTAATGCAATGGAAATATTTGTGTAAGACCTGTTCTTTAATAGTGTTAATAGAAATTTTATACTTTTAAACATGGGGTGTTTTTCATTTAAGACACACTTAATTAACAAAACATTTTATTTCAACTTCCAAAAATTACAGTTTTGAGAAAATTAAAAGTATATTAAAAAAAACCACGTTAAAACTTTACTTATTCACATATTAAACATAATAAATGTATCGCCACGTCTTCAGACTTTTACAGAAAACTGAACAGAATCATAACAGACCAAAAAAACAGAGCTGGATTTGTAAACTGATCGATGCCAGAATGCAAACTGTGGGAGGGATGGTGTGTGTGTGTGTGTGTGTG